GTAGGAACTAAAATCACAGCTGGAAATTTAGTCAGAGCATGATGGTAGATGCAATGAAGTCCTGCCATGAAACTCCATGAATTTTTAAGCATGTTCATCAGACTATCTATCAAACCAAAATGGAATACATTGAAAATATATCACAAAGTGAAAATTATAGTGTTGCCAAAACTTCAGATGTTACAGAGATTCTTTTTTAAAAAAAATTGAAATGTTAAACTCCACAGCCAAAAGCCATAATGAAAAATACAAAAGGATAATGTTGGAAAGTTGTTCTTTGGATAGACTTTATTTCTTTTTATTTCTTTTTGTTGGTTACTCTGCTTTACTCCAGTCATAGGCTGACATAGTGCACCAGTTACTGGAGTAAGTTTCGCAAGCCAGACTGGCTGTTTCCGCCATTATTAGCTGAGACAATTTATTTCTTTGTGCTTCCATCTCATCATCTGGGAAATAAATAAAGTTTACCTCTCCCGTGTGTGTGAAAATGAAATGAGATAACTTGTATGTCACTTGAAGTGTTGTGAAGCATAGGATGGCCTTGGCATTAATAATCCCCAAACCAAAGAAGCTAGCTGTCCTTATGGATCTCTTCCCAGAGCCCCAGAACCCCAGAGCTCCGGCTTGCCTCACATCTTTCCCTTCAGCCGCCCTATCTCAACTCATGTGTTTCTCTTTATGATTAAGTCAACCAATATTAATGTCTTACTACTTGCTATTGCCTAATCAAATTTTACCCTATTTTAGTCCTTTCTTCCTATAACAGTTGCTTCTCCATATGGCTTTTTAAAGAATGCTTTCAATTTCTGTTTTGATTAGGATGACAGACTTTTTTATTTCTCTCACAAGGGCAGTTTCTATGAAATGAGTTCTATTTGTTAGGTTTAAATATGAAAGAAAAAGAATACCTATTTAGTTAATGTGGTGAAACTAAGTGATTAGTAATGGCTAAATAACTGTCATGAAAGTCTTTCTTCCAGTGCTAACCCTGGCGCTGGTGATCTTGAGGACAGAGCTGCTTATTCTAGCATGGCTCTCGTGGGTGCCCCTACTTCAGCGACTAATTTAGAATGATCTTGCTGTGTCTTTCATTACGAGTCTAGTTTATGTGTTGATGTCAGCAAAAATCTCTTACAAATTCATTTCTGCCTGTCTCTTAAGATAAGTATCAAAAATTTCCTTATGTCATAACTAGAAGGCATGAGACAAAGCTGTAGCTGCCAGCTATTTAATTTAGTGACCCTTTTGGTAAAAACAATGGATGTGTGAACTTGACCATTGATATTATAGGTTTAAAAGTTTTCCAATTCATTTTGTTGAATACATTTTTATTGTTAAATATTTTTGATTATTTATATAAGGGTGAGGTACAGAGGGGATACTGGTTCATAAGTCAGGTAATGAGTGCATTTCATTTTGGAAAATGTCACTTCTTCCTTCTGTCTTTGCCAGTTTTTCCCTCCCTTCCCTGTCCACAAGTTGTATAGCTCATTTTCAACATAGTGTCTACTGAGTACCACGGCTACATTCTGAAAAAAAATTTTGTGAAGTCACCAAATTATTCTTTTCTTGTGGATGGAATTAAAATGTATTTCCTAGCCTAATGTATATTTAGTCATCTTTTTGTTCTCTGAAGTAGATGTAAGACAATATGTTAAGGTGCTGGTCCTTTCATGAGCATTGATTTGTGACTAAGAAAAATGATTTGACAGTGAATAAGGATAGTGTCTTTCTTTGTTTTACTGAATCAGTGGGGGTTTTCCCAAGGTAAGCTCTGTGGTTTGGTAGCTCTTAAAATATACACCAGCATTCTCTAAGAAAGAAGCTGTATTTTGCTTGTTTTATTATAATTGTGTCTCATACACTGAGGTCTTTCTTGGAAGAGAAACATATGTTAGGTGAGTTCACATTTCTTAAAATATACATGATTCTTCAGACTCAGTTCTATTGAAACAGGACTCCCATTGAAAACTAAAGAGTGAAGGCTGCAGCACAGGATAAAAGTGATCAAATGATTAGCCAGGGGCTAATAGAAATTCTGGAAAGAATGACAGATTGTATATTAGAAAGCAATGTGATCTCATATTCATTAATGCTTTTTACAATGAAAGATCCAAATGAAATAATACAAAATTACTGAAAGAGATGACTGTCTGAAACTTTAGAAATACATGTGATACTAGGTTAATCCAAGCAAGAAAGACTGGTAGGCAGATAATAAATTACATTGTGCTTGAAATATGCATTCCTTGTTTTGAAGCTAGTTCTCCCCCTGCTCCTTTCCATTTTTTCTTTTTTTTTTGTTTGTTTTTTTGTCTTTTCTTTTTTTTGGTACTGGGGATCGAACCCAGGACGTTGCGCTTGCTAGGCAAGCGCTTTGCCACTGAGCTACATCCCAGCCCTCCATTTTTTCTGTGCATGGTTATAGCTAAATAGTTTTAGATGAGTTTTGGAAGATTTGACTCATGATTTTCATCATATACCATAGGTATATAACCTTTAGGATATATAAATATTATCAGTACTCTAAAACCTTGAGTAGAGGTGGTTGATAAAAACCTTCCTCCTGCCAGGTACTAGTGGCTTATTCCTGTAATCCTACCAACTCAGGAGGCTGACATCTGAGAATTATGGTTTGAAGCCAGCCAAGGCAGGAAAGTCCAAGAGACATATATCTCCAATTAATCACCCAAAACCTGGAAGTGGAGGTGTGTGTCTCAAGAGGTATAGTGCTAACTTTGAGAAAAAATGCTCAGGGGCAGCACTCAGGCCCTTAGGCCTGGCACAAACACAAAAAATAAACAAAAAGAAATCTTCCTTCTATTTTGTGCCAAATTGATGTCAGTTTTCCTTAGGAGAAAATGAACAATACAGAACAAATGTTTGGCATCTAATCAATTATAATATTCCATAACTAAAAGAATTTGTAGAAATGTCACAGTGGGTTTAGCCAACAGCCCTGTTTCTTCTGGGGGAAAAAAGAAATAGAGATAAACTATAAAATGTGTATATTTGTATTTCATTACAAAAAAGTCATTTATTTAACGTTTAAATTTTGCTTCGTCGGGGCTAGGCAGGTAGAGTTGGTAGAGTGCTTGCTTTGCATGCATGAGGCCCTGGGTTCGATTCCTTAGTACCACATAAGCAGAAAAAGGCGGTAGTGTCAAGTGGTAGAGCGCCAACCTTGAGCTGAAGAGCTGAGGGACAGTGCCTAGGACCAGAGTTCAGGCCGCATGACCGGACCAAAAAAAAAAAACAAAACTTTGCTTTATCGTGGGTACATGTTATTTACTAAAAATATTAAGAGGGTATTTGAATATGTATATGATAATGTGTCTTCATACAATTTTACAAACAATGTTCTTTATTTTCCAGTTAAAGTGGTCACATGATGTCATAATTATGGAGAAATTCAACTACTTTACAATAGGCTGAGAAATACACATTGTTCTTAAAGTATTGAGACCTTTCATTAAATTTCCCCCAGATTTTTATCAGTATAACTTGGCATTCATTGGTGGGCTTAGTTTTATAAGTACAAGGAGAATGTGAAATGTTTCCTGAAATATAAATAAGTAATAAAAATTAATGTGCACACAGTGTACACTTTTTTCTTCATGGACATTTTCTTCTTGGCTCTTTCTATATACATTCTCTCTCTCTCTCTCTCTTTCTCTCTCTCTCTCTCTTTCTCTCTCTGGCCTCTCTTTCTCTGGCCCTCTCTTTCTTAATCTCTGCGGAAAGGATGTCAACTTGAGATATTTTTTACTCCAAATCAGCTGAGTTTCTGTATGTGCAAGTATTTAAGCTTAAACTCAAGTATTTGTATATAAGTGAGTTATACATTTTGTGATCATATAAATGAATGTTTTTAATAGATAGACCAGAAAGAGTATCATTATAAAGTGCTATAAAATTTAGTTCTTGCCTGTCAGATAAAATGTACAAAACAATGCTAGCTCAGGTTATGATTACATAACACACAGATGAGCCTGGTAAATAAAATGGAATATTTCTAACTTGCTTTAGAGAAAAACATTAAATATAGTTTGTTACTTATTTTTGCCTTATGATAATATGTTCATAATGGTTCATAATGGGGTTCATAAGGAGAGAGAAAGGGAAACAGACAGACAATGGGACTTCTGGCCTAGATGTTTCTTTCTAGGAAGGGTGCCCCTGGCTCACACCTGTAATCTTAGCTACTCAGGAGGCTGAGATCTGAGGATCAAGATTTGAAGCCAGCCTGGGCAGAAAAGTCCTCTGGAGATACTTATTTTCAGTTAACCACTTAAAAACCAGAAATGGAGTTGTGGCTCAAAGTGGTAGAATGCTAGCCTTGAGCAAAAAGCTCAGGGGCTGGATCTGGTGGCTCATGCCTGTAATCCTAGCTACTCAGGAGGCTGAGATCTGAGGATGTGGTTCAAAGCCAGCCTAGGCAGGAAAGTCCGTGAGACTCTTATCTCCAATTACCTACCAGAAAACCAGAAATGGAGTTGTGGCTCAAGTGGTAGAGTACTCACCTTGAGCTGAAGAGCTCAGGGAAAGTGCACAGGCCCAGAGTTCAAGCCCCACAACCAGGAAAAAAAAAAGGAAAGGAAAAACAAATGGTGAAAGTTAGTAATTATTCTTGTTAAGCTTAAGTTTCTATGTTAATTTTACTCAAATTAACCTCTAGTACCTGGGACAGGGGAGATAATATATGAGTTTTTGGAAAACTTCAATAAGACTTGTATTTATAAATGGCTAATAAAATCTTTTGTCTAAGTAGTTTGCCTTGTGCTTGAAGTGCAAACAAAGGGTACTTAATATGCATACTGAATATTCTTTTAAATAAAGCTGCTTATCTCCACTCCTGCTGTAATGTCTTTGGGCCTAGTACCTTGTGAGTTAATCTGTGTGCTTTCCTAGCTGTCATGAACTCTGTGTTCCTCAGTAGATAACCCTTTTAATTGATAAAAATTACAGGATTCTAATAGATATTTTAATTTTTTTTGCAGCTATGTCATCATATCTTTTAATTATTAAAACAGAGCTCCCTGCTGCTATTTCGGAATTTTTGACTGGAGACTATAGTGGGTAAGAAGAAATATTTCACATTGAAGCCATTCGTTTATTAATTCAATATACATTTATTAAGCTCTAGTGACAAGTGAAACAAATGTAGTCCTTGTTCCGAGGAGACAGATCGCGTTGGGTAAGTAGTAACAGAGGAAAGTCCTACAGATGTCCATTGGTTCCCACCATGTACAAAGCACTGGCTGGGAGCCACCTGAAGTCCCACATGCAGCCCTTGTGTGCCTTGAGGGTGTGAGAGCAGAGCTGGGGGGTGGGGGGCGGAGAGGGGAGAGGGGAGCTGTTGCTCAGGTCTGAGACAGCTCTTAGGGAAGAGAAAAGGAGAGATGTCTGAGGATGTGGCATGGGACAGGACAGAGTTGGGGGTTGAAGGTTCTGAAAAGAGTTTTAAAAAGGGGCAGGAAATCATTGTTATTTCTCAGCAAATTATAATGACAAGTAATGCTGCAGTTAAAATAATTCCTAGAGGAGATTCATATATATGACTTGATAAGTTACTAGGATTAAATTTTTTCACCTCCTGTTTTTAAAAACCTTTTGAACAATACCAAACCATAGATTTTTTTTTCTTTATTCTTTATTAAAAAGCAAAAACACCCAGGTCCTACAGATTATATTGACCCATCACTTTTTATAGGGGAAACCTTCAATTATCTTTTCCTTTCACTGTGTAGAACAAGAAAAAATTTTGAAATTGGATTTAAAGAGACAGAATCAATTCTTTCAGTTGTTATACTATTTTATATAGTTTTAAAACACAGTAGAAACCTGTCAGTTTTCCAGAGTGGAATATTTAGCTGTTTTGCCCTAATAATCGAATTTGTTCTAGAATTCAGGGGAAGTTTTCAAAATTTAGTTTTTAGCATTGTCAACTTGGTTTCTGTTAAAGAATTTTACTTAGACAAATGCATATACATATTTGTAAGAAGAGTAATTTATTATTTTTATTAATTTTATTTACTTATTTTTTTGTGTGTATGTGCCAATACAGGGGCTTGAACTCTCTTTTGGCTTTTTGCTCGAAGCTGATGCTTTACCATTTGAGCTACCTCCCCAGTTCCAGCTTTTTGCTGGTTAATTGGAGATAAAAATATCTCTCCGAATTGTCCTCTTGGATTGGGTGTCAAAGATCCTCAGATCTCAGCCTTCTGAATAGTTAAAATTATAGTTGTGAGCCACCAGCACCTGGCTCATAGTTACTTTACATCTGAGTAGAAACCATCAAGAAAATGTGGTAGGAAAATGTAACAGAAGTACCTATGAATTTTCATTATCAGAAGATACTATGTCTTTTATAGCACTTAACATTTGTGAAGTTCCACATTTATCATCACATATCTTCAGCGTTAGTTGCATTTTTATTTCATGACATAAGAAATAGCTATGTGCAACCTACTTTTGTATTTGCTATAAAAATATTAAGAACAGCTTGTTACTCAAATTCTGTGTGAAGAATTTAGATTGTAATGTAGGGCAAAGAACACAAGACAATGTGAGGGTAGAATAAAGAATGTTCAACATAAGAGTAAGGAACATGTGTTCTGTCCATTTCATACTAATAAAACAGGATTTAACTTCTTTGGGCCATATAACTTTGAGCCTTAGAGTTCTTTACCTGTTGTTACAGGGATGCTATATTGCCTTCTTTTATTAGCATAATCAAACAACATATTGCATCCACACATACTTGTAGATTTATAGCACAGTGTAAATGTGGAGAATAAAAAAATCCTATTGATAACTATACTAGAAGGAGCCATTCCTTTTTCTTACTCAGACTGCTAGGAAACTCAGAGTTGAACATGAATGTATTGTATAAACTAGGTTAATCCTAATAGCCTTCATATATCCCATATGGCTTTTCTTTTTATTTTTTTTTCTCCTGAATTTTGTGGTTCCTATTAATCTGTCTTAATTACCATGTGCTTGTAGAATCAGGAAGGATATAAATTTATTTCAAGTTTTAGAAATAAAGTAATGTGTGGCAGACCTGGTATTCTGTCTCCAAAGTGATCTTTTGATCTTAACTTTATTTAAAATTAGTTGTCATTTGTGTTGCAAGGTATTTTTCTTGTTTTGTTTTTAAAACAAAAAAATTTCCTATTTTCACTCATAAAATGTCATTTTTTATATGTCAGGAATGGATTTTTAATGCTGTATACTTCAAATTACAGTGACCAGTTTGCATCATCTGAGACAATGTTTTAAAATTAACAATCCCATACTATTTAAAATGTGATATATGTTCCCTTTAACACCTTAAAAAGTTAAAAAAAAGTAGCCAAATTTGTTTTCAAAGCTTAATGTTGTAAAGTAATTAAGAAACCAATATGATGGTTGGTAATTGACTTTCCTTTTGCTTCCAGACAGAATTACATAGCAGTATTTCTTCAATGAGATTGATATGATGCTAATAATGATTTTATTTCAGGTTTGATTTACCATAAATTTTCATAAAGATCTTTCAAGTATGCTTATTTTTTGGCTTAATATCTGATGATTTGATGTATCTTTGTGAAATATAAACCTTCAAAGATATTATCCAAAAAGAAAGTTTGTATTGATTGTTTTCTAATTTTAAAATTGCTATTAGACATTAAGAGTTATAGTATCAAACTCTTATAATTAATTTTTCATAAAATAGCTTGTATTTTTTAAACCTATGGCTGTTAAAAGTTGGAAGCTCTCTGTGAACATTTAATGGTCTTGTCAGAGGAATCTGATTGACACAATTAAGTTGTCTTGCATTTGAGTTACATAATTGATATGGGATGTGAGTAAGATCCTAATTCAGAACATATGATACTCTTGTTCCATTCCATTCGAGAATGAAATTAAGGCAACTTATAAATAAACCTGGTTTTCATTAAAAAATGGAAAAAACATCTGCATGCCAAAGCACTGCAATACAGCTAAGGATTTATACTCTATATTTTAAACTTGGAACATTTTTATCATATAGGATTAAATTCACAGATCAGACAAGTTTTTTTTTTTAGGAAGTATAAAACTTTTTGCTCTCTTTTGGCTTAAAGAAAATATGTATTTAGATCATACTAGGAAAGCAGGAGTTCTGTTAGATAATTTTTTTCCCTTTTAAGGAAAAAAATTAAGGTCAGTACATTCTTCTAAAATCTTAGTTTATGAAGTAATTTTACTTAATATGTAATTTTTGAGATTTCTTATTACTGGTTTACATTTTTCAGGCTGAGATTTTATTTTATAAATGTGATCACTTCTTTGGAGAATATCCACTGCCAAACACAATCCAGTTAGCTATAACAAGCACATAAAATCTAAACTGACTTCAGTGGGTGTTATTATATTGCCTTCATTGCTAATGATTCAATGATAGGGAACAGCACTGTATTTAAATGAATATATTAATATAAATGATAACAATAACTGGTTGCCAAATTATATTTTACAATAAATATTTTACTAGTAGAGAAGTTATATTTTACAATAAAGTCATTTTCATACTAAAAATTTAGGGTTCATTTCTGTAAAAAAGAGATTATAAAGCATGATTCTGAAGCAAATGAAAGATTATCTGAAAAATACTCTATAAATTTAAGATTGACTGACAAATAGAGATTATTTTCACTGCAATAATTAAGATGCTATTTTTACACACATAAAATGAAGTTTCTGAACCAGATGATCTATAAGCTCCCAGCTCTAATATTCCACAGCTCTATGCTGCTCAGTTACTTTGGAAGGGGTAAAGGTCTCTTCAGATACACAGGTTAATGCTTTGGTCACTCACATGACTTTTATGGTCAAGCATGAATTGCGATCTGAAGCAGTGTGTAGTAGCTCTTGTTTAGGATTTCCAAAGTATTAATCTTATTGAAGAGAAAAAGAGTTGTGGTCCTATGGATTATTATACCTTCTTTTTATTACAAACTCATCTTCATGCTATTTTGTTTTGTTTTTCATTTAAAAGAAATTGGTTTATAATAATGTTATTATCAGAACATTTACCATGAGGTATACGCTCTTAACAAGGACTTAGATATACAATGCAGTATTGTTATCCAGTAGGGCCAGCAGAACTAACAGATGGAATCTGCCTTGCTGTTCCCTTGGGCCTTTTTCTCCTGGCACTGCAACTGTCTAGGTCTGTTGCTGGGTCTCACAAGGAAAGATATTTCAGACATAGAGCCCCAGGCTTCTTGCCAGCTTCAGAAATTTAGTTGCCAGGTGTTCCTCAGTAAAGAATGTTTTGAAGTTCCAATTTGATTTTTGTTCAACAGTGACTAGAAGATGAATTTGTTGAGTATCCTTTTGTATTTTTAATATGTGTATTTTTGTATTATTTCCTGCATGCCAGGAACTGAAGGACATATGCAGATGTAGAGAGCACAGCTTCAGGTCTGTAAGAACTGGAAATAGTTGTGCCCAGGTTACGATTCCTGATGCATATATTTTCTAACAACAGGAGTTAGAATAAGGAGGGGGAAATGTGCCCATGGTCACATGGTCCCGCTATTTATGCTACTGCTCCCTCTCTTATTTTCTTAAAGAAGAAGTTATCAGTGCCCAGTAATAATGATAGAAGGGTCATCAGAGAGGATCTCCTCATAAACCAAGATTTAAAACCAAGATTTAAAAGATGTACCCTGGATCTTAAAGTCCAGATGAGAAGCCAGAAGTTGAAAATCAAGTGTGGAAACTCCTTTCCTAATTTAGTAGGGCAGTGGGAGAATTTGAATACATGATCACAAAGTGAAAATTCTGAAATTATCTACCAATGATTTTAAAAAGTAGTTCCTAAGCTGGGCGCTGATAACTCATTCCTGCAATAATAGCTGCTCAGGAAGCTGAGATCTGAGGGTCAGGGTTTGAAGTCACTGGGCAGAAAAATGCACGAGATGCATCTCCAACTAGCAACCAGAAAACCCCAAAACAGCCCAAAGTGGAGCTGTGGCTCAAGTGGTAGAGTGCTAGCCTTTAATAAGATAAACTCAGGGACAACACCCAGGCCCTGAATTCAAGTCCCAGGAAAGGCACAAAACAAAGCAAAAAAAAAAAAAAAAGTTTTTCTTAAAGTAATTCTTGCTGGTTGCCAGTGACTCATGCTAGTAAATCCTAGGTTACTCAGGAGGCTGAGATCTAAGGATTGTGATTTGGAGCCAGCCTGGGCAGGAAAGTCTGTAAGAGTTATCTTCAATAAAGTAGTGAAAGACCCAGAAATGGAACTGTGGTTCAAGTGATAGAATGCTAACCTTGAACAAAAAACTGAGATAGTACCTAGGCCCTGAGTTCAAGCACAGGACCTGCAAGAGGGATGGGTGGCAGTAATTCTTGTTGGTCTTTTATGCTGCAAACTTCCATTCTAGTGTGAATTTAATTGCTGTGTTATGTGCATATGTATATTATGCACTAGTGTAAAATTATGACTTATACATACAGAATATTTAGAAAAGAAACCAAGGACAAAGTATGCATAATACCATTTTAACTTAGTGATTTTTTGTTTATCTGAATTTTTCTTAAACTGTTTTAAAAATATAGTTAATAATCATGTTTTGCATTTATACCATTATGCATTTTCTACTTTACTATATTGACTTTTTAAAAAGCTTTATAACATTCCACTGAGTATGAAATTATCAATCTAAATATTTTCTGTTGTTAGGTATATAGGTTTTTTTCCTTGCCTTATTAATATTGGAATATTGTTGTACTCAATAACTTTAATGCAGATAGAATTTTTTTCTGTCTTAGATGATTTTCTTAGACTAGGTTGTCACTATATTTTTATTGCTGTCTATATATTATCATTGTTTTTTGAGAAGAAAGTACTGACAAAATCACTAGCAATGTGTGAAGGGCCAATTATACCACATCGTTGGGGTGGTCTTGGGCTTGAACTCAGGACCTGATCTTTTTTGTTGAAGGCTGGCACTCTACTACTTAAGCTGTAACCCCACTTCTGGCCTTTTGTTAGTTAATTGTAAACAAGAGTCTCATGGACTTTCCTGCTCAGGCTGACTTTGAACCACTGTCCACAGATCTTAACTTCCTGAGTAGCTAGGATTATAAGCATGAGTCACCAGTGCTTAGAGTCTTAATATTTATTCTGAAGTTATTTTATTTTAAAAAATTTTTAATTTAAATTTATCATTTCTTAAACTAGCAGCAAGGATTGGAATTTTCTTCACATGTATTTATTCAATGTATTTCTTTGTCTTTTGTATATAAATCTATTAGTTATTGAAGAATTATCTTTAATTTTTTCTGAGCCAGTTACAGGTGGCTCATGCCTGTAAGCGTAACTACTCAGGAGGCTGAGATCTGAGAATTGAGGTTCAAAGCCAACCCGGGCAGAAAAGTCCGTGAGACTTTTCTCTCCAATAAACTCCTCAGAAAAGCCCAAAGTGGCATTGGAGTTCAAGTGGTAGAATGCAAAATGGTTTAGGGACAGCACTCAGGCCCTGAGTTCAAGCTCCAGGACCAGTAAACAAAAACTGAGGGCTAAGCATGTGGCTTGGTGGTAGAGTGCTTGCCTAGCATTCATGAAGCCCTAGGTTCGATTCCTCAGTACCACCTAAACAGAAAAGCCAGAAGTGGCACTATGGCTCAAGTGGTAGAGTGCTAGCCTTGAGCAAAAGAAGCTCAGGGACAGTACCTAAGTCCTGAATTCAAGCCTCAGGACTGGTGCAAAAAAACAAAATCCTTTTTCTGTACAAAGTGTAGAACTTCAGTGTTTGCACATTGAATATTTTGTATTGAAATAAAGTCATATATTTGCACCAAGAATATAGAAATTGCTCATATTGCTACCACATAGGAATATATGCTTCTGAGGCTAGAAGTATGGGTCATGCAGTAGAGTATCTGCCTAGCAAGCATGAACAGCCCTGAGTTCAAACCAAGTGCCACCCCTCACAAAAAAGAAAAAAAGAGAGAAAGGGAAAAAAGAAAGTAAAGAAATATCTACTCTTAGTATTTTAAGTATATCTTTATGTCTTTAAAATATGTACATCTATTTCACTCTGTGGTAGGGTTTCTTTATTTAAAAAATGAACAAAGATATAAATGTACTGGTAACATCTTTTTCATTCAATATTCTAAAATCTTTTCTTTTTTCACTTTTTTTTAGCATATGTTGAACAAACTAATAGACTTCTTTATGGGATTTTTATATATCTATATACGCATAATTACCTCTCACATTGCCCTTCCTCTAATGTCTTTGTATGAAAATTTTAATGTTTATAGCTGGTAAATTATGCCTTTTACTCAAAACTTAGGGAAGTATGGAGAACTATCAAGAATATCTGTAATTTTATAAACCAAACATAATGGCTATCAATACATTATAGTTCCTTTCCATTTTCAATGCATCTATATTTTTCTCAAAAATCTCATTATGTATATACATATATCTGATATTTACTTAATATTCATTATATTGTATTTTATTATCATAGTTTTAGATGCTTGTTTTCAATTTTCAGTATTTTAAATGATTTCAATAAATACCTTTTAACAAAAATAGTTGTTCTTCCTGCTGGCTGTTTTCTTATTTTTAAAATAGTCTTATAAGTGTTAAAAGGTTTAGTTATTTTAAAGGCTCTCAATATCTATTGCCATATTGCTTTACATAAAAGTAATTTTTATAGTTTATACCTTTACTAGTATTGTGAACACTCATTTTTTAGTTGTTGGAAAATGGCAGCTCATTGTTTTTGGGTATGTTTACTTAGGACAAAGAGCCCATTCTGGCTCTGAAACTCTCCTACATGGAGAGTTCAAGGCCCAGCCTGGCCTTGAACTCACAATCTCCCTGCCTTAACCTCCCCAATGCTAATATTACAGGCATGTGACCACATTATTATGATACAGTGCCTAAATATAAATTCACTAATAAAAATAATAGTATCACCAATAATAATAATAATAACAAAAGATAGTAGGCCTTTTCAAGTGTGTGATTGTAATTATTGGGATTTATGGAAGAATGTATACAAATCTTGTGACTAAATCAAACTTTCCTAATAGGTCTTGGTATCTTGATGGGCAGAAACTATTAATAATCATTTGTGTTGGCATTGTGTTCCCTCTTGCACTTCTTCCTAAAATAGGTAAGTCTTTGTAGAAGAGAAAGAGTGAAAACACAGGAGGGAAAGAAATATTAAAAGGCTTTTAAATTTCATAGTACCACATTTTTAGCAGAAAGGTGGTGGTTGTGAATAATTTAAAACTTGGCTTTATTTTAGGTTGTTGAGCCTTCAGCCCTGCCTAGTTAACCTATTACTTGGTTTGCAGTAGTATTTTGTCTGCTCCACTAAAATAAAATCTTTACAGCGGAACATTAAAGAGCAGCTTTCCCTTACAGTGTACCATTAGTGGTAAGCCAGTTCCAATTCTGCTGTACAGAGCTACATAAATGATCTGTGACAGATAGCTGGAATGTTGTTATTCTGAGCCCTAAGCCCCAGATACCAAGCACTGTAATAGAAAACATGCCCAAAATGTAAAGCTTTAGTTTTAAGTTAGGATCACTTTCCTTATAAATTGCTTTTTATTTTACTGTTATTTTACAGGCTTTCTTGGCTACACAAGTAGTTTATCATTTTTCTTTATGGTGTTCTTTGCTCTTGTGGTAAGTTTAAAGTATAATGCATTGTTTTTCACTAAAATTGGACTCGTGTTAATGACTTTTTAACTCTGCTTTATGTTGGGAAGGGTAGTCTATTTTTATTTCGTCATGTTATTAAAGCACCTTTTTCCACAAAAAAGGTAGTTTTGCTAGCAAAATTATTTCTTCATTATTTTGAAGAAGTTCAGAGTCGCATGTCAAATATAGCACCTCTTGTAGTTAAAGGTAACACACAAGTGTTGTCAAAACTGTAGGTAGAATAAAATTATTTTTTAGTAAAATCATTTTTGTAGGTCTATCATTTTCTGTACACATTGTATAAAGAGTCAGTAAGGCTTAAGTCTATAAAATCAACTTGATACTATTCATCTTAATTTTGAAACTTTACTCCATTAATAAAATAAAAGTTTCTGAGACTTGGCCATTGAGGAGATCTGAGAAAATGGGTATTTACTAATTTTGTCCTGTCTGCTCTGATTATTCAGCATAAAAAATTCTCATAAAAACAGCAGTGGGAATAAGTACTTTCATTCACATGCATGGTACATTTTTTTTCTTAAATTGTCTTATTTTTATTGCAACAGAAAAATAACAGACAGTAAAATTTATTTTGGTATTTATAGAATAATAAGATAATAGAAACATTGAGTTTATAACTTTTCAATCCTTGAGAGCAAGTTGTAACATCCTATAGATAGAATCTTTGTATGAAAATTTTTAAATCTTTTTTTCTTTGCATAGCAATTTATTTCATAGCCAATATCTAAATGTTAAACCTTAAATAGGATTAGGATGAAATCTTTTTAGCTTGCCAAGAATCTACTTATCCAAGTAGCCTTTTCATGGGCTTGTTTAAACTCTCCTTAGTTATTGATAAATGAAGGAAAAATGCTATACTTTAGACCAAGTCAATATGGCAGTAGTTAAGCCATGATATAGAGCCAGATTTCAAAGTTGTCAAAACAATCCCAAGGGTATATTGCTAACTGCAATTGAAACACAGGAATAAAAAATGTTTAAATTACCCAAACCAAGTGGAAATGACCCTGATTTTACTGAACTGAAGTATTTGTATATTTCAGAGAATGCTTTTAAAACTGAAAAATATTTAACTATGTTTGCATTAAATCATTTATTGTATTTACCAACATTAAAATCATCTCTCTCTCAAATTGTCTGATGCACATCTTGCAAATAATGAAGTAAACATACACTTTTTAGACTTTATATCAGAGAAAAACAGCAAATGTTCTCATCATATGTTGATTGTTGAGAGATACCTACTGGGTTAGAAGTGTCCTCCATATGCAAATGAATGTTAAAAAGAACCACTGTAGATAAATATTGAAGTTTTCCTTAATGGTAATTAGTAACCCATTGCTAGGTAGAAGAAATTTCATTTTCATAGTCAATAGCTTGAAGCAGGTGAAATGTACTGATATGATATGTCTACTGTAGCTTTCTATCATGGCAAGCATTCTTTAATTCAATACAAATTTCTACTGTTGTGATCATATGGAAAAATCCCCTTATTCTTCATTTATTGTACTGCTTTACAAACTCTCTGCTCAGAATTTTACCTGTGAGCCTAGTTTAAATTTGGTTTATGATGAGAAAATGAAAAACATTCCCCACCTTTTAATGCTGTTGTTGGCAAATATAGTATAGATTCTCTGTTACATTTGGATATCTACAACAGTGTCTGCACATATTAACCCACATTTTTTTTTGTCAGTCATGGGGCTTGAACTCTGGGCCTGGGTGCTGTCCCTCAGCTCTTCAGCTCAAGGCAAGCGCTCTACCACTTGAGCTATAGCGCCACTTCCGGTTTTCTGGTGGTTTATTGGAGATAGGAGTCTCACGGTCTCTCCTGCCCGGGCTGGCTTTGAACCGCGATCCTCA